CACCATCTCCGAGGAGACCCGCAGCCACTGGGCCACGTTTCGTGGTGACGGCACGGGAACGCTCCCCGAGCCCTCGTCGGGAAAACTGAAGGCAGCGGCCTTCGGGGGCAAGGTCGCTAGGACTCAAAGTGCGGAAGACCTCCCATCGACGCTTGCACGCAACGCCGAAGGCATTTTGTCAGAGAATAATCGCAGTACCGAAGAAACGCCGACATCCACATCTGAACCTAGTGACCGCGTGTCACTCGACATACCTGTGCTGGTTGACGGTCTTCAGGTCAGTGCATTGGTAGAAACTGGTGCAGACTATTCGATCATCAGCGGGAGGCTAGCGAAAGATCTGAGGAAAGTGATCACGCCGTGGAATGGAACGTGAATTTGAACAGCAGGAGGACACGTTGTAACGCCGCTGGGTCGTTGTACCGCAAGAGGGAAAATTCGGGCGTCAACGTTTGTGCTCAGCTGCCTCGTTCTTCGCGACTGTTCGCGTCAGCTGATTATCGGCATGGACTTCCTTCGGGAATACGGTGCCATCATAAATCTCCGTGAGCGCATCGTGACCTTCTCGACTCAAGGCGCAACAGATCGAGACGCTGATAACTGCCGTAGACCTGCACTGCGTGTTGCTGACGACAGTGTGACGCTACCACCTCGAGCAACTGTTCCCATCGAAGTCACTTGTGAAGACTTCCAAGACGCGACGTGGTGGCTGAAAGCAACCTATCACTTCTGCTGCTCCAAGGTGTATGCGCCACCCGAAGTGTTGTGCGCGTCCGTGACGGACAGTCAACGATACTTGTTACGAACTTCAATTACGAGCACCGGCATCTTTTTCGCGGAACCGCCGTAGCTTATGGAGACCCTGTTGCAGACGTCATGGAGTGCTTCGCGTCCGAAGAAACGCATGAGGATGAGGAATTTCTAGACCGCATCGACATTAATTCGACGCTGTCAGACGAGAGAAAGGCTGCACTTCATGACCTTTTAATGGAGTTTCGATCTTGCTTCGCCTCTTCTTCTAAAGTCCGTCAAACACACCGCACGAAGCATCGAAATATTACCGACGATGACGTCCGCCCCATCCGGCAGCAGCCTTACCGCGTTTCTGCCAAAGAGCGTGAGGCTATTCAGACACAAGTAAATGAGATGCTCGATGACGGGATCATTCAACCATCCAGCAGCGCTTCGTCCTCGCCAGTCGTTCTAGTAAAGAAAAAAGACGGAACGCTGCGATTTTGTATTGACTACAGGAAGCTTAATAGCGTCACAAAAAAGGACGTCTACCCGCTTCCACGGGTCGACGACTCCCTCGACAGGTTACGAGGCGCGAAGTATTTTTCGTCCATCGATCTAAAGAGTGGCTATAGGCAAATTGAAGTGGATGAACGAGACCGAGAAAAAACCGCGTTAGTGACTCCAGACGGACTTTACGAATTCCGAGTTCTTCCCTTCGGCCTCTGTTCCGCACCAGCCACTTTTCAGAGGATGATGGACACAGTTCTCGCTGGCTTGAAGTGGCAAAGCTGCCTTGTCTACCTCGATGATGTGGTCATCTTTTCCGAGAGCTTCGAAAAACATCTGAAGCGTCTGAGAAAGGTTCTGGAAGCCATTCGCACAGCTGAACTCACGCTGAAACCCCAAAAATGCCATTTCGCCTATGAAGAGCTGAAATTTCTGGGACATGTGATTAGTGCGGATGGAGTGCGACCTGATCCAGACAAAACTGCTGCTGTCGCCGCCTTCCCTGTTCCATCAGATAAAAGAGCAGTACGCAGTTTCCTCGGCTTGTGCGCGTATTATCGCCGGTTTATCGCCAACTTCTCGAAGATAGCTGAAGCTCTTACGCGACTCACCCGAGATGACGTGCCCTTTACTTGGGCCGCAGAACAAGATACAGCGTTCACAGAGTTACGACAGAGAATGCAAACAGCCCCTGTTCTTGCCCATTTTGATGAGGACGCTGCTACAGAAATTCATACAGATGCCAGCAACGTCGGACTTGGTGCTGTCCTTGTACAACGACACGGTGGCGTTGAGCATGTCATAGCTTACGCCAGTCGTACTCTTTCTCGAGCCGAGACCAACTATTCTACGTCAGAAAAAGAATGCCTCGCAGTCGTGTGGGCGACGACCAAATTTCGGCCTTACCTCTACGGTCGTCCCTTCAAAGTGGTGACTGACCACCACTCGCTCTGCTGGCTGTCAAATCTCAGAGATCCATCCAGCCGTCTCGCACGGTGGAGTTTGCGTTTGCAGGAGTTCGATATTACGATTGTGTACAAGTCAGGGCGCAAACACGAAGACGCCGACGCGCTTTCTCGAGCACCTGTGGGGAACGCTGTCAGGGGCTCCGAAGATGAAGATGCCTTTCTCGGAGCAGTTAGCGACTCCGAATTTATGTTAAAGCAGCGGGCAGACGACGAATTACGCCCAGTCATTGATTCCCTGGAAGGCCGCAACTCTCAGGTCCCTCAACACATTGCTCGCGAACTGTCCTCTTTTTGTCTAAGAAGAGGCACTCTTTACAAGAAAAACGCCCGTGGTAGCGACAAAGCCTTCCTACTCGTCGTTCCTACCGACATGTGTGATGCGTGCCACGACGAGCCCACCTCAGGACATTTGGGCCATTTGCGAACTCTCGCCAGAGTACGCCAACAGTATTACTGGCCGCGACTATCAACTAGTGTACATAGATCGATATGTGAAAGGCTGCCGTGAGTGCCAGCGCCACAAGACTCCGCCTGTGAGACCCGTGGGCCTGCTCCAGCCGATCGCACCACCACGGACACCGTTTGACCTCGTGGGAATGGACCTTCTTGGGCCCTTCCCTTTGTCGTCCTCTGGGAACAAGTGGATTATAGTTGCGACAGATTATTTCACGCGTTACCCCGTGGCACGGCCTCTGAAGTCGCGCAGTTCTTCGTGCACCAAATCGTCTTACGGCATGGTGCCCCGTCATGCGTGATTACGGACAAAGGGACGTCGTTTACAGCACGAATGATGGAGGACATTTTTAAACTGAGCTGCACAAGTCATCGAAAAACAACGGCTTATCACCCGCAATCCAATGGACTGACAGAAAGGCTTGACAAGACCATAGCGGACATGCTGTCAATGTACGTGGACGTACAACACAAAACCTGGGACGAGATTCTTCCATACATCACGTTTGCTTACAATACGGCAACGCAAGAAACAGCGCGATTTCCGCCTTTCCGACTTGTTTACGGACGCAACGTGCGAACCATGCTCGATGCTATGCTTCCATGCGACCAAAGCAATGAACTTGCTCAAGATGCTGAGCAATACACTCAATACGCCGAAGAAGCTCGTCAGCTAGCTCGCATAAACACCAGTCACCAACAAGATGCAGACGCACGGCATTACAACCTCCGCCATCGAAATGTCACCTACCACCCTGGGGACCGAGTGTGGGTGTGGATCCCTGTCAGGCGACCAGGCTTATCCGAAAAACTCCTAAGCTGTTATTTTGGATCGTACAAGGTTCTTAGACGAGTCACAGATGTTACCTACGAGGTATTTCCGGACGGCGCAGCGTCTTCTCGTCGACAGCTTCGGCCCGAAACCATGCATGTCGTTCGGCTGAAGCCCTACTTCACATAGTAGCCCTTGTGGTTTCACGTGCTACGACATGCCGTGACTGCTTTGCTGCTGCTGTTTGTGTTCTCCTGTGTTTTTATGCCTTCTCTTTTTGCTTTTGGCGCAAGCGTTGACGAAACTTCCTCATTTGCTCTGCGAGTACTGGCACTCTCCCTCTTTTGGTTATCTATATCTGCGTGTGTATACCTTGATTTTTTTTATTTACGAGCATCGAGTTGATGCTTTCAAAGGGGGGGACTATTGCCACATGGTTTGCTTGGGTGAGATCGAAGAGTGAAAGAGGACAAAGATGATCTCTCTGAGCCGCTGCTTGGCTAGTCGACTAAACGAGCCCATTGTATCAAGTTTTGTCGTGAGTAACGTGACAATATAATTTTCTTTTTTAGTTGTGAGCAAGAAGGTCAGGGCTGATTAGGTAAGCTCCCAGGAAGCGTTGCTTGAAAACGTGCCAAAAAGGGCACTGACACTTCAGCGTGTCACTGTGTTCTGCGAGCGTTTCATTTTAATAATATCCCTGGTGGTCGGTACCAACAATGCTGAGACGGCCCAAAAAGCTTTGTCGCGCCCTCTGGTCCACTGTCGGGTGCCTAAAGAGGGTAATGGGCTACAGGCTACAATAAATTGTACAACATAACTAAAACATAATGCAATAGGAATAAAATACGCGTGAAAAGTATAAGAAGCTACGAAGAAGATGGTGTGTACGCAGTTTGATATTCTTTACTGGTTCGGTTCGATGAATGGAATGCATAAAAGAACTCCCGTCCTGCCCTAATATTTTGTGCACGTTACAGTTCCTTGAGCATCGCTCTGTAATGTTCAGGGAAAAAATTTTGCTAAATGTGTTGATAAAGTAGTAAAAGTCGTAGGGTCCTGTATTTGTGGACTATTACTTGTTGACATCGCTCTTGAGATATCCAACTGTTGATTGAGCACGGTCACTGATGAAAGGAATCTCCCATAGTAGAATACATAGTACTCTAAATCGTTAACGACTTTTTCTAAACACACAGGAAGCTCTCCCGTAGTAGAGTACTGAGTACTCTAAATGTTTACCCACGTTTTCAAAACACACAAGGGGCACATTTAGATCATTTTCTCGTATAATGTACTTTATACTCTAACCCTGTATTCAGAAACGCTTCGCGATATAAACTACACTTGCTACTTCCTTCAATGCAGCACAAACGCGTTTAGAACGTGCTGCATTGAAGTTCTAAACGCGTTCTAAAAGCGTTTGTGCTGCATTGAAGGCAGTGCCAAATAAAGTTCAAATTAAGGAGCGTGCCTGAACACAAGGATCTTTTTTTAACAAGAAAATAAAAAAAAATCGCAGTGGGCACACGATGATCCACCACTTTGTTGTGGTTGTTGCCCAGGATGCCCACACAGTGGATATGGAAGACTTCCAATACGGCGGCACCAACATCTCGGCCTTCCGCCTGGTCGACACCAACGCCAAGGAGTTCGATGAAGTTGCCCGGGACTGGATGACGCGGCGACTCCGCCATGGACAGAAAGGCGAAGGCAGCTTGTACCGGGTAATATGATGCTCTTATCAGGGTCGGCGGTGGCTGTTCCACAAACACGTGTCTTCCGCAGGGAACTTGTTCAGCACACTCGTGTACGCTCCAGACCGGCCGTGAACGCGCAGAAAGCATGGGCACGAAAATATACGCCCGCCGATAGAGGCACCTCTTTCGTGTACAAAAACTAACAACGGTCAATAGCCAACTAGACAAAAGTGACATGGGGTTTGCTTGATCAAGTAAGGTAACCTTGTTTTGGAAATTATTTGTGAGCCATTGCATAGCAATATTGTGTCTTAACAATGCAATCTTCAAGTAATAAACACGTACATGCACACAGTAAAAAAATTCGTAGTTATTGAAGGACGATGAGACGGCTCATACGTGCTCCCTGAAGAGCTGAAATAAAAATAGCGCCATAATCGTGTTCTCTCTGTGCACGCTACAGCTGAGCGTGTCATTCCTCCATAAAAAACGAATAGAGCTACATCACCGTCAATACTAAGGAAACGTATAGCACGGTCAAGCAGAGTTTCCCGTTTATAGAGGTCTCATTGCTACGTTCACCGGACCGCGGGTGGTGTTGATGATTGAGTCTTGATGCGAGAATTTGGGTTTGCCCGGATAGCGTAGAATTTTGTTATGGAGGTTCGCGAACGCGGCATGGGAGCTACTTTTCGCTGCAAGTTACGGACAGCAGTGAGATAAACGTATCGTCTGTAGCAAGTTTCGTCTGTTTTTTTTTCTCTGCGAAGATTTAGCGAAGAATTCTCCGGAGAAGTGGGAGAAGTGCCGGTAGGAGGAACCATCTTGCTACTGACGAGGTTTTGGCGCCATCTTTTGTGCGACACAGGAGTTAGGTGCACACTTCCGATGCGTGTTTAGCATTTCTCACTCAACTATTGAGAATAATTTTTTGGTTATTTTGGTTAACTATATTATTCCACGCCATGTCAGTTTACTTTAAACTGGTTTAGAGCATTATTAGCCTTGTCATGGTCTCTACTCAGTGCTTTACTGTGAGCGTGATCACGCGACATACGATGTATAATGGACGAGAAGACGGGTCTCTCAAGTGCGCCGCGCCTAAAATGGCGAGAATAGTTGAACGTGCTGTGAGAGTAGCAATGCCTTATCCCGATATCTTCATATTTTAATATTGACACAATAATGGGCTACAGTAACATATAATGTCGCGTTAGCGGACCTAAGCAGCTTTGCGATGAAAGACGATTCGGAAACTGCTTTGTCCGTAATGTAATCCTCATATTTTAGCCACGCTGTTTTCAGAGTTGTTCAAAGTGTGCTCTCTTTATGCATCGGTATCAGTGCATAAATTATAAAAGTGGAAAATAAAATTACGCATGCTTGAAACGTTTAACTTACGGAAATCACAAACGATGAAACGACTCCAAAGTAGAATTTTTATGTCACCATGTCCGAATATTACCCTTAAACAATTTATTAATGTCACTTGCGCCTTTAAGCCACACGTGTTTTCAAGGTCGCTGTCTGATGATACCCTTAAGGCTTTTGCCTTAATGACAATTTAAGCAGGTGTATTTTGTGCATTACCTTGTCATTCACGTGCCTACATACAACGTTTATTTTGGTTACAAAACATAATGATGTCCAGCAATGTTATTATAAAGGTTATATCTGGCAACGTAGTGCATGACTACTGCTTGCCAAGCTATTTTTGAAGCTTCTAATAAGAATTCCTTCTTTTTTTTCTGCCTCCTTTTTGCCTGGAACTATGCGAAGAATTTAACGGTACGTACAATTTTGATTTCAGCGGTAGAAAGATATCCTCCTTTCTTGTCCCGTCGAACATGAAATCTAAAATATAGTTATCAGCATTTTTCCCAATATAGACAGCAATATGCTTTCCACGGCATTGCTAACGAGCTTATCAGAACTGTAAGATACTTCTGTCACTCTTTTTTTTTTTATGGGGGTAGTATGTATACGGGCACTCTCGGTGCCTTTTTGCCATCACCGGGGCCGCTGTTGGGATTTTCCATGTACTGTTCAATTACATGTGTTTTCCAAGGGCAATCGAAAGGGCACGATGGTAGACGACGATGGCGGTTATAACAGAGGAAACTCACCCACCGCGCGAAAGGCCTGAGGAAGGGCGGAGGTGGGGGGGGGGGGGCTGCGTTGCTTTCGTCAGAGCAGCGTACTTTGACTTTTGGGAACATTGGAGTGTGCAATACGACACATTCACAAGAATGAGAGGTACATGACGGGCGCCACTGTCAACTACCTTTAGTTGAATCTTTGCCAGCAAATAACCATTCCGCCGAAATGCAAGTATTGTTAGCTGTGCTTTGAGCGACCCAGAGTAGTAGTAGCGCACCCGATCTGCCACAGGGATCACCACGTAGCACACACATTCGCACACGCTGTCTTCTCATTGACGAATCTGCGTTGAAGCAATCGAGAAGATGAAGGAAACTTCACTTCATTCAATGGCCACATTTCTGTTAACTCACGCCAGGTCACATGTCGAAGAAGTTAGCTACCAGCCTTAATTTGTATAGTGTTTCAGTTTGTTGCTATCGTTTTCACTAGATCACCATCACGGTGAGACTCACTACATTGAAAATAACGTTAAACTAAGATAGAACGGTACTGCTATAGAATAAATTTACACATCAACACTTCTTGCAAAATCACGGCCCGGCGATGACAAAATTCAGTGTTTGGTAGTACCCAAGGAAAGTGCATGCTTAGCAGCACAAGAAAGAACCATCAAATATAAGAAATTTTTTTTAGTTATAATGTTTTCTGCGTAAATAGAATAGTCCACTGTTAATTATTTTATGTCACGTATTGGAGGCTTTTTTGCTTAGGTGAACGACTGTTCTAGAACAATGTTTGAGACTGCCTGCATTAGCTTTTTTCGTAGAATGTAGTGTTATCCTCTAATGCTGATACAAAGTGTACTGCTTGCTGTTGTTTGCACAGCGCTACTTGAGAGCGTCCCCTATCTTTTTGTTTAAAGGGAGCTACACTTAATCTACATCATTGAATACTATCATGTGCTAGTCTCTAGGAATTTAGTCTGGAGTAACCATTATCATGTACCTATACTAAATTTTAATAATAACTGATAGGATTAAGGCGAATGAGCTGCGTTGCAGGACAGATCATTGCACGCGAATGATTATGTAAACGGTGTGCGCCTCGAGACGCGTTGCATACGCTATAACGGTTTAACTCCGAGAGCGGTACCTTGCTGACGTGAGACGTTTTTTTAACAGACAAAAGTTGCTCTGATGTACGACGCTGTGAGATTGTTCGCCACGGCACTTCGAGACCTGCAGCCGAATAATGGGCCCAAGATTCAGGTGCGACCACTTTCGTGCGAAACGGAGGAACCCTGGTCGCAGGGAAACTCTTTCGTCAAATACATGCGAATGGTGAGTACCTCGTGGCTAGAGCTCGCGATGACGTTGAATGATGTAGAAGTGATAGTGCTGACGCTGCGGCGTGCGGGGAATGATACCGGGATCAGACAAGATACTAAAATTTATGTGGCCAGCGCTTCAATATCTATGGATAACTTGCACATGTCATGAACGCACAACATGGCAGCAACGTGGTGGCTTAAATGACGTCATGGCAGCACAGTTACGTGGCGACTGACCTGCTCCAGCGATAATAGCGTGTGCGGAAACGTTATTGGGCATATGCACACGAATAACAAAGAAACCAGCATGCGATGTACTGATCACACTAACGTGGCATCCCAAGAGGTCTCTGCCCGCCATGTTGGTGCCATAACGTGGTTATTTCAGTGGCGTCAATGGAATACACCTATGAGTTCACACCAATTTTTCCGAGCATTTGCATTCGCTACACATACCCACGTACATAAAGAACGGTGCGTCGGGCCCTCTGGTTTTCGAACCACAGAGTAAACGCAGCAATGAGCGCAGATTCTGAGTCTTCTTGTTTATAACACAAATGTGACCAAACTTTTGAATGCGTCATAATCTCGCACGATAGATTTATTTCAATATATATATATATATATATATATATATATATATATATATATATATATATATATATAAATAAGGGAAAGAAGTGTATATCTAAGGGCTCGTTTTTCCGTGTTTTGACACTATATAATGAGATCAAGAATGAATCTAATCATGAATCTAACTCTAACTCTTAATTAGATCTAACGCTATATTAATGAGATCCCTTATTCATTAACGAGGGTCTCGTACTGGCAGACTTGGTGCCGTTAGGTTGTATACGAGGGAATATTGGTTAGCTGCCTGCTCGGAATAAGTTCACGTGCCACGTGACGCCACGCAGGCTCATAAAAGGGTGTTTCACACTCGATGCCATGGCTACAGATGGCACTGACTAACACTCCCACGTTTAAATTCACATATTAACCCAATAAAGTGGCTGGATATATATATATATATATATATATATAGACCTTAGCTGTTACATTATACATAGGAATTGAGATTGTCTGCCTATTACACGAACAATTGTGAAGGGTGATTTACTATGGTGCATCACATACATGTGCAAAAGGCTGACATCGGAGTTGGTGTATGACGGTGCCACATAATTTCAAATGGCAAGTATAGTGCTAAAACGTGTGCTTGTGTGTGTGCGCTTCTTTATGCTAGCATCCTTGTCGCAATTTCCCCAAGGTGTTCCCAAACCGTTATGAACTAGGGAAGCTATCAATTTTTCGAGTGATTGAAATTAAATTCTCGACTACTTGAGATGTGCATACCAGATGACGGCATGTCACGTTTCACGGCACATTTTTTCTTTTTTTTTGCTGCTGCACATAATGTACGGTTCTAAAGAGATGCAACGCGTTAACTTCGGATCATTGCTTGGAGGCAAATCACGTTACGGCACGATATTTTTGAGTACGCAAAAATCACTAAAGTAAAGATGTTTAACAAATGGGAGATGAGTGGTGAAGTTAGCGTGAGCATTGGCTGAGCTTCGAAATAGAGCCTCATTGGTTGGTGCAGGCTGCAGAAACCGTGTGCATCGTGACGTCATCGACATCACGCGAGACGTAAGCTTCATTGAATTGCATTGAGTTGACGAACATCACGCTTCAAGCCATGTACAGCGGCGAGCAGAAGCATGGGCAAAATATCTATATCACAAAGGATATCTGCTTTTGTGCCCTGAGAATGTTAATTAAAATAGTGTAACTCGGCCTAAGTTAGTTTGCTCGATAAATACGATATGTTCAATCAATTCGAGGCTTGGAAACTGTGTTGAAAGAATACATCGTGTCAACATCCTCAAACGTTTTCTTGTGGCTGTGCAGACGGAATCACACTTATCTATAACACCCAGCAGGCCTTTCAGTTGCTGTTTTCCGAAGAAATGTGCAAAGAGCGATGCCGTAATGGTACCTAGCACAGTCATTGCAATCTAGCTCATTGTGTTACAATTCAAGCGAAGCCAGTAGCTATTGTTGGGTATTATCGGCGAACAACAACAGCATACACAGCCGCACGCTCAACCGCTGTTGACAAGTGTCATTTCGTCTGTACGTTACGAACGGTTATCCGCTGGCTTCTAGGTGCAAGGCATGCCTATAAACTGCATCTCAATTTAATTACTGTTCTCGCCAGCACTGTATGACCTTTTGCTTAGTCACATCCTGAACATAAAGTTTTTCCTGTATGTGGCGTGGCTTACGAATGAATAGCATAGTCACGTGATATAGGTATGGCTGTCCCGGGTGTGGCCATGGATGGCCAAGGTACGATTAGTTTATGTCACAATTTTTGACAGACTTTGCAAAAGCATATTTGCTTTGCGCACAATCAGTGAGCATGCAACCTACTACCTAAAAAAAACAGTGCAAAGCTGTGATTTGTGCGATTTTGTCTGTGTTCCAGATTAATATTCAAGGTCTAACTGGCAACATCAGATTTAATCCCAATGGGCACCGAACAGATATGAGACTTACCGTCATGGAGATCACTCACAATGGACTCCGAGAGGTAAATTGATTTGTAAATATATATAACACAGATATAAGTGGGGAAGTACTGTTGAACTTCTACAAGTCATTTATTTTTGTGATTGGTTCCTGAATGCAAAAAAAAAAAATCTGGTTATTGCTCTGTAGAGATGACGTAAAAAGCAGCAAAAAAAGAGTGTTCGAATGCCTTAGCGGATATATTTTGTGCCATGCGTATCTCTAACTGTCAATTCTCTATTCTCTGTTTTATCTATCTGCACATTTTAGGCCGGTGAGTGGACAATGCACGGTGGCATCAACATCACCACAAACTACTCACGACAACTCGAAGAGGCCCGTCTGCATCTCATGAACAAGACACTTATAGTCACCACGCTCGTGGTACGTTTTCTTCTGTTTACGTTTGTATGAGTGCAACATATTTTTCTATTAAACTATTTTCAATAAACAAAGAAACAAACGTGCCTATGTTCCCACGTTTCTGGCCATCGATGCCTTGTGTTTTTGGGCTGCCGCTGAACATCTTTCATAGGGCCTAAAGTAAATAAAATAAATAAAAGTAAAAGTACATACGACCCGCTTCCTCCTACTAAGAATGCACTTGGAAACTTCGTAATAGTAATGAATGACAGAAGGAAAGAATGCACAGTTTTGGGAATCAAATCGGTCGTTGATTGGACAACACACCAGGTTTAGCGTCCTTTGGCGTTCTTTAGAGTGGATGTGAGACGTCAGATATTTCTGCGCATTCGAAATAAATGAAAAGTCCTTTTCCCAACAGGCGCGCGTAACAACTTCGTGCAAACCTGAAGCAAGCGCCCGTGTTTGTAACGTTATATCAGAGTAATTGTAATGCTACATTACGCTTTGAGTGGAAGTCGGACATTCTTTCTGACATTACTGCAATTAATTAAATCACATATTACTTAACGATTTCACTGAGAAATGTGAGTTTGGTCTTGTGCATTGTCAATCGAAGAATAGATTTTGTAAAAGCACCGCAAAAAAACCTTATTCAGTTATCTAGTAATTGGAAGTGTAGTTTAAGAAGACCAGCATTTATACTTAGTATCTTAGGTTTATCTTTTTCATAAAACCAATTTTCGCGTTGTTCTAAGTCGTGTTTCATACGGATCCTTTCTTGCATTTTTGCTCAAGCATAGACAAATTGAGTTAACAAGTGAAGTTACGCAGGTCTGCTGGAAACGATCATGTGATATGTGGGTATTAATGTCCCGAAACCACCATGTGATTATGAGAGACGCCGTCGTGGAGGGCTCCGAAATTTCGACCACCTGGAGTTCTTTGACGCGCACCCAAAACTGAGCACACGGGCCTGCAGCATTTTGGCCTCCATCGAAAATGCAGCCGCCGCAGTCGGTACTCGACATCGCGCTACCTGCAGGTCGGCAGCCGAGTACCTTCGCCATTAGAACACCGCGGCGGGGCAGGTGCTCTGGAATTAATGCAATGAATGCACATATTTTTACAGACCCCTGCGCTACATTAACAATAACAGAGATATTGGATATAACACCACAACATGACTTCTCGGCCGTATAGGGCAAATGTGCATGCCATTTTGCATACTTTCCTCATTAGAGTATGGTAGTGCCGTTTGGCTTTTCTGGGCTGCGGGAATTTTTTCGTTGTAACCTACATTAGAACGTGCGTTCACACTGCTTTATGAAGCAGTCACGGTGATATATCAACTGGACACGTGTCAACGTAAGTTCAAGCAACCTTCTAAAAAGAGACTGCTACCCTTTATAAAAAAATAAGTAGATCCTTTAGACGTTGAAGTATTGGCCGTATATTGTGCTCTTGTATTCTTGGCTCAGGCTTCCTATCATGCCAAAAAAGATGAGCAAGACTTCTCGTTTTTCGTCGTCTAGCAACCCCCGTACACAATGCTGAAAGAGAACCACCAAGAGCTGGAGGGCAACGCAAAGTACGAAGGCTACTGCATTGACCTGCTCGAAGAGATTTCCAAGCTTCCGGACATCAACATCAAGTACAAGATTCGCGAGGTGGCGGACAAGGCGCACGGCAGGCGGGATGACAAGAACGAATGGAATGGCATGATCGGGGAGCTTCTACAAGGGGTGCGTGAATTGTGTACACGTTTGTCGTCTGACACTTGCTCTGTTCTACCGCCGGCTACGCGAAGTCTATCGCTTATACGGTGACAATAGCTCTTCGAGCGTTTACTGTCGACTTTGGGTGCACGCTAGACATTCGCAATGACATCTAGTACACCAACGACAAAGTGATGAACCACACAGTTTTATTGTGACAGGCGGGCTAGATTGGATAAAAAAAACACACACAAGTACAAACTGTTCGTTTATTGCATGCTGTATCTCTACAGAACAAAATAGGCAAGCAAAGGAAGCGCTCTCCATGCACCTATCCCATTGAAAAAAATAGCTTATAGAATGCAATACCAGAAACGCATATATTTGAGACTTACCTTATGGATTCTTATGACTGTGCAGTGACCACAAAACGTCCTTATCCCGACGCATTTTTGAAATACTTTGTATACATATTATAGTTGACCTGACGACAAAGTTTTGGCGCAGTCATTTAAATGTTTTTTTTTGTCATCCCGCAACAAGCGGAACTACCTGAAAATAACAGAAATAAGGTAATTGTCAGCTTTTTCGGCATCTTTTCGATTTGCTAAGGATTGCATAGGGGCGCTCACGATGGCATGATGGGGCAAATTGCCCTGAATTGATGGAAGTATAAACAACGCAACGCCTTGTTCTGCTGTACACGTGTAAGAGGCTTGTCTGTATATAGCCCACTTTTAATTAATTTCTGTAATGGTCCGGGATGACGGACCTTTCGCAGAAGGCAGACCTGGCCATTGCCGACCTGACCATTACGTACGTACGGGAGGAGGTAGTGGACTTCACGATGCCGTTCATGAACCTGGGCATCAGCATCCTCTACAAGAAGGCGGACAAGAAGCCTCCGTGGCTCTTCTCCTTCCTGGCACCCCTGTCCCTAGAGGTGTGGATATACATGTCCACGGCCTTCCTCGGCGTCTCCCTCTTTCTCTTTGTGGTGGCGCGGTTCAGCCCGTACGAGTGGGTGAACCCCCACCCGTGCGACCCTAGGCCCGCCGAGCTAGAGAACCGGTTCACCATATGGAACACGCTCTGGTTCACCATCGGCTGCCTGATGCAGCAAGGGTGCGACGTGACCCCGCGGGCGCTGTCGACGAGAGTCGCGGCCGGCATGTGGTGGTTCTTCACGCTCATCATGGTCTCATCGTACACGGCCAATTTGGCCGCCTTCCTGACAGTAGAACGACTCGTGTCTCCGATCGAAAGCGTCGAGGACCTGGCCAAGCAGACGAGCATCCAGTATGGGTGCCTTGCGTCGGGATCCACCCAGGCCTTCTTTAAGGTACGCATGTGTCGACGTCGTAGGTACTGCAAGATACATATGTTGCCCACGCATGTGTACCAAGTTATTGATATTTTGTTTTTTATTAGTCTTCTTTTTTTATAGACACGACGCTCTACCTGATGCTTCCGTGGGTTTTATCAAAGTATTCTAGTTAATCGTCTTTTACCAACAGTGGTGTGGTTAATTGAAGTGTTTATCATTCATTAACAGTTTTTCATTACCAAATCTACATTCAATGCTTTAAGCCCTTCTCGGCACGATTTATGAACACGCTGCAGCCCTAAATTCACTCTCTCTTACTTCAACTGCCGAAGTTGCACCTTTCAGAATGGACCTCAGACTTAACGCTATGAATAATAAAACGAAAGGTAAAATAATAAGGGGATGCGCTAATGACTTTTAGCTATTGAATGGGGGCAACGTTAGTAGAATCCTACATTGGCTATGTACTTTTGTTGACGTCGTGTTGATACTCTTAAATGCCTTCGGGTCGCCTAGCTAAGTCACTGGCTTTTTTTTCTAGTCCACCCGAGCACCACTGATTCATCGTGGAGGATGAAAGAACGCTTTCACGCTTACTGAGAATCGATTGCAAATTTCAGGTCGCATGCTCTGTTGTAATGTTCAACTCGCGATTTCCCAGGTGCCTCAACCATGAATCGACATTGTTTTCTGATTTTGAGAAGTGTCGCTTGTTGCAGGATGACAAGGAAAACCATCTTTACGTACACGTAAATTGAACTGCGTGGGCTTAAAGAAATTTCACCTACGTCGAAAATACCACAGGGATTCGATCTCTCCACCTGCGGGTCAGCAATGCAATGTAGCGTCATAACTACTAGACCACCACGCGCTGAGCTGAGTCACTGGCTTTGTTTTTCTAGTCGTGCTGGTCCTGGTAAAAAACGACGGGTTCGCATTTCTTTGTCCAAGTGTGAGATGGCCCTGCATCTATTCACTCTTTTGATCAAATGTCCAGTCCGCTTTCCACGTACATTGCGTGACATTGTACGAAGGCCGGATGTTCACACACACGCTCTCCCTTCTTTCTTCGCAGGAATCCGAGTTCCCCACCTACAAGAAAATGTGGCACGTGATGCAGGCCGCACGGCCCAGCGTGTTTACCGAATCCAACTACAAGGGCATCGAACGAGTGCGCCGCGGAAAGTACGCTTACCTGATGGAGTCTACCTCCATCGAGTACGCCATAGAGAGAAACTGTGACCTAACCCAGATCGGCTCGCTCCTGGACAACAAGGGCTACGGCATTGCCACACCGCCTGGTGAGCCTTATTATCATCGCGCGTCGACTTGCCGATGCTAACCAATTGCCAGTGTCTTCATTTTAAAATGCGCTTCATAATTTTCTCTCAGATAACTTGTGCAGCAATAAACTGTAGCAGAAATGTGTACGTGTGTTACGCTAGTCAAACAAATGATAGCCTTATGACAACCGATTACGATTAAGTGATGGCAAAAGGTGTTTTTTTAATCCATTCATTTCTAACTATATATTACAAATGCTACACTACAGTTAAAAAACGTAAATAATGTCCCCTTTAATTTGGCGGGCTTTGTCAGGTTGTGTCTAACAATAACGAAAAAAAAAACTAGGCCCCCTCGTACCAATCCCCTGCTTTCTTCTTAAGGGGTTTAGCATAGCCAGGTTCATATGTCTTCAGAACCACGGTATTTATGAAAATTAGATTTTTTCGTTTTATTGCTTACGAAAACGGCTTGACACAATTTTTGAGCCGCCATAGACCGTATACTGCTTTCTTTTATATAGTGAATGCCTCATCTTAGCTAATTACTACTTTGGAAGTGCATCGTTGCGAAAATATACCAAATTGCAAATTTTTCACTACTTCAGATTTTTTTCATGATATTTATGCAAGGCCGTGCATTTTTTGTTTGGGTTGCGAACACTATTGTACTATTTTCAAATGTTCTCGGATACCTACGGGTGTGTGGTTTTTACAATAGCTTCATTGAAATCGTAATAAAGGGAGGCATCTCGTGCAATATGGCCATGCTTGAGAAAGAGTTACACACATTTAGTATTGTGTGCACTCGTTCAGAAGATTAGTATGCAATATTATGTGGCTTTCCTATAGCCCGCACGTTGTCTTCAGACGTGGCATTGTGAACTGACGTGATTATGGACCGCAACCACAAGAAACTCGGTCATTGCTTCGTTAATGTACGCCGCGCAGGGTCCCCGTACCGCACGATGCTGTCCCAGGCGATCCTGCAGCTTCAGGAGAGTGGCACCCTGCACGTGCTCAAGGAGCGTTGGTGGAAGAAGCGGCACATCGTCAAGAAGTGCCCCAAGGAAGAGGCAAGCGCGTCCAAGGGCACCTCGGCCCTGGGCCTGGCCAACGTGGGCGGCGTCTTCGTCGTCCTGTTGACCGGCTCCTGCATCGCCTGCATCACGGCAATCGTCGAGTTCATCTGGCGCTCTCGCAAGGCGCTGCCAGAGGAAAGGGTACGCATACGCTATCTGATGCATCGGACACAGCACACTGCTGCCGTTAACTTTATTATGTCCATCGAGGAAGCTGTAAAGTGGTGATAAAAAAGCCTCTACTGCACCATTAACAGATTGATTGAATGATTGATTGATTGATTGATTTAGGACGGTTAATTATCAGAAAAGGGGGATTCAAAGGGAGAAAGACGGCGTGCTGCCACACTGCAATGTAGCTCATACGTTCTCAAGTTGTGTTCTACAGGGCTTCTTAAGTTTTCAGTGATTATTATTTGTACTGAGGTGGTGTGTAGTCAGGACCATAATATAATGGAAAAGGCTACCTTGACTACCATAACTGCAAAATGATATTTGCGTCGCGAAGGGCATCAATAAAGTTATTTTCATCAATCAGTAAATCTGGGTGTAAGAATCCTGATGCATTAATTGAGGGTAGCTTGTATTTCACGGCAATTTCCTCAATTCTTCAGGGTACTGTGCATCCTTTGTCATCTCATTAAAACGAAGAAGAAATGAGCTGCAATAGCGGTTACAATAATTTGGGTCATAATTTCGTCGATTTTCGCTATCGGTAGTATACGATTGAAAATAAAATTGATGGATTAGAAAAACCTTGTCGTTCGGCTAGTTCGTGCACACTTTTTGAAGCATCGATTGATTGCGTCCAGCTGTTGCAAGCCTGCAAAAGGAGTGATAGCGAACCCGCTTGACTTGACGGAGTGGCGCGTGAGACTTCCGCCCTGTCCACCTATTCCGGTGATTCACTTTCGTTCATTTTGATTTGATTGATATGTGGGTTTAACGTCCCAAACCCACCATATGATTATGAAAGACGCCTTAGTGGAGGGCTCCGGAAATTCCGACCACCTCGCTTTCGTTCATCTTTATCGGCCTGTGGACGATTACGCGACAACCATTCGCCTCCCCGACGCTTTCTGCATTGAAATATCTTCGAACAGATTTTAGATTTACTCACGAGATTGTAGGATGAACTTTCAATATATGTAAAAAAAGCAACCACGCCCTGTATGAGAAGACAGGTGCTGTAAGGGTAATGCAGTGCGTGAAGCGGTCAGAATGCAAGGATGCTGCGAGAGCTCTAACGTTTACGAACTTACGCAGCCTCGTTGAGACCGTGGAATGTAAAATAAAAGTGTGTGAGACGTTCCGAAAATCTTGGTGTATGTGTCTGTGATGTGTTGTAACAGAAAGATAAACGTAGTAAGGCTAACGTCATCGCCACTCAAGAGCGCCAAATGTATTCTCTTCTGCCACATGATAATAGAGTATCAGCAACCCCACGGACACACCGTAATTTTCCCGCAGGAACCCGTCTGTATGGAACTATGCCGCGAGCTGCGGTTTACGCTCACCTGTGGCGGAAAGAAGCCCGTGCGCACCAAGGGCGACGACCGGGTGCCACCTGGTGCCGGCAGCGGCGAGAACGGGCTGCCGTTCATGCCTCTCACGGGCTACGGCGCCGTCGTCTCCAAGGACAGCTTCTCCTGACAGGACGAGCCCCGGGGCGCGCCCGACGACAAGTTCAGCACCTGCTACCGGTGAGATCGCGCATGGACGCGCGGGGTCCTTAAGGCCCACCTTGTCTTTTTCTCGCCGGAGAGCCATGAGCTCTACCATGATGCTTGGACGGCGATAGCTACTTGTGAGGAGCACAACAAACTTGCCGGTCACAGTGAAGGCAGCCGCAACCATTTATTGCCTATGATGCAGAAAAAACAGAGTAAACATTCATGTCGGTTGCATTGCGCCGATCCACAGCTGAACAGGTGTTTGATGTTCGAAGGCATATTTATGAAGATTAGGTTATAAATTTGTGACAGCTGCACAAGCTTGTGAAGGAGCCGCTCGTAGAGAACACTCGCATCATGTATGGATAGCTGGAATGCATAGCAGACACAGCAAATGAAAGAAGCACACAGGCGCAAAAAGAAGTGTTGTTTCTTTACGAAAAAGTACGACATGTGGTGGGCGCTTATAAGGAAGAAGTGAGCATAGATAATTCGAGAATCCCCTGCGTTTGCTTAGCGCTGCTGAGGATGCAAGCCATATAAAATATAGTGAGACAATGATGCAGAACTTTTAAAATATTCACAATTAGTTCATTGAAGGCAAGAAACAATAAAAAAAGGGGAGAAGTTTACGCTAGCTGTCTGAGTGGTGAAACTGGTTAATCTTGGGGGCTTACTTGGCCTCTTTGGCTGATGCTAGGTGTTTCCTTGGCGTAGGCAACGGAAGACGAACCACAGCCTGTCACAGATAACGAAAAAAATGCTCTAACACCAGCGCCAGAACTAGTGTGCAAAATTGGCTGTGGCAACTCCAGTACAGAAGCGCAGGCCTTTCGTCGTTCGAACTCGGCTCGCGCGGTGGTCAAACACGGCGCGGAAGCTGCGCGGACTGTCTGCGTCAGTGGGCGCGGCTGATAAGCAATGGCTGGCAGGGTTCTTTGCGGACGCCTGACGTTTCACCTCAAGCTTTGAGAGCTTCTCTCCTAAAAAAGAATGTTTTAAAGTATTCTCGCTAAATGCAGGCGTATATCAAGCTGTGAAATCGCCGAGGCTCGGTCACAACGGGTACGCTGACAGTGCTTTTGAATGAGAAGGAAGAGGCAAGATGTAAAACGATGGAAAACGTGTCATCTCCGACACGTATTAGTATGGATCAAAATGTTGTTTTTTTTTTCACAAATAGTTCCGTGTCAATGCGGTAAAGGAAGTTTTGCTTGGCGAGGTGCATGGTGGATATTTGCCGCTACTCTTTTTCTACATTCGTACCCTGAATTCGCAATTCGTGGCCCGTACGATTTGCAGCCTTTTAGCTCTAATTCAATAAAAGTTGCTTGACCTACTAACCCGAAACTATTAGAAAGCTTCCAATATCGATAAACTGCTCTGTCTTCGGAGCGAGGCGGGGAATGTGCTCGTTCATTTACATAACGAATGTCGATAAAGATTTCTTTGAATGTTATTGTTATGGATTCAGGGTGGAAAAGATCAATGCATTATCAAGAACATTGAAGTATGACCCCTAATACGATAGCAGAAGTTTCTCAGAAATACCGCAAAACTTTAAAAACATCCAAATAAAATTTGACCGCTTCAGCTTGATGAATTGTGTGCACTTTTACTCAATCCAATAGCCTTTTTATTTTATTTTGTTTTATTTTTTGCTGCGGAGGTACGGCATTCCCAATCGAATCTAAGTGCAAACACTAGTGTAGTATGACGACCGATCTATACTCGATGTCAACGTTTCTTGTCAGTACTGTAGAAGCTACATAACCTAAGCGCATGCCTGATACCACGCCAAAAAGTAGTGCTTTAGCTTGCTGAAAATTTTCTCATCTGCCTTGCTCAAATAAATAGTGCTTTATTTATTACAAGACTCGAGTCGCTTCGAGAAGTTGTCTTTAAAAAAAGTTAAAAAGAAGTTTTTGTTCACTTTACAAGAATACATTTTATTTTTGCTCAGTTCTGGGACAGCACGACTCTTTCAGCGTACCAGTTTTTTTTAAAGTAAACACGACGTCTGTCACGTTGTGCGTCAGGTAAAAAATAAACAAACAAAGAATCGTAACATTACACTAAAATGTATGCTAAATAATCGGAATGCTTCTCCCGTTCACATACATCGTGCCTAGAGTTTTATAAACGCGTTAGAGATGCGATTGAAAGCGATATTAGATAGCAGTAGCTGAGCGGTTCAGCGGGCCAGCGGGCCCAGCGAACGAGCGGAGACGCAAACTGCGCATGCGTGGCAAGCTGAGCCGAGCCAGCGATTTGACGGAGCACGCCACTTAAAGGAACTCATTTCGTCTCCTCAGCGGAGCGTGCGCAGCGGACCAGCGTGCGAGCGTTCTCCAGGCTGCCCCGGCAAAGGCTCTGCTCGATGCATGGCCTCCGAGATGGCGTGCGCGCGGCGCACTGTGTGAGCGTTCTGCAGGTTGTCCAGGCAAAGACACTGCTTGATTCATGGCCTCCGATATGGTGGCTGTGCCGCGCGCCCGCAGTCTCGGAGGCCATGAATGCTCGATCGACAGTGCAATGATCGACAGTGCAACCGTGGCCTTGGCGCAGATTGCGCTGAAGCCGCCCCCAAGCTGCTTCTACGCGGCCCGTTTCTCTGTCATAAAAGCCGTCCCAGCGGAAGCATCACTGTTGTAGCAGCAGCAGTTGCATTCACAAGCACGCATCTAAGCGAACTTCCTTGGTTTCACAGGTTGGTTGCTTCATTTTTGACACTTCCTTAGAATTTCTTAGTCTAGCAACTGCTGCTGCTACTGGTGTTACGGCTTGTATACTCACTTTGTACTCACGTGTTTAGCCATTTTACACGATGCCGACGAATGCCGAACTCTGCAAGCGCTTAGACGAGCTAGAAGATTTATTCAAACTTAGATTGAACGAATTGGTTGACCGGCTTGTTGTTAATATACAAACCAAGCTTCAGGACGCAGGCTTAGACGTCGGTGAATTGAGAGCTGAAGTTGGTCGTATGGATGACAGTTTAAAACTCTTGAACGAGGTGGTCGAGTCGACACGCTCCCAGCAGCTCGAGCTGACTGCCGCAAATCGCGCTCTAAAAGCAGAAAATGAGGCCCTTCAAAGTAAAGTCGCCAACCTCGAGCAGTACTCAAGGTTAAATAACTTGGAAATAAAAGGGGTGCCCTCTACCCAAGGAGAGGATTGTTCCGCAATCCTGACTGCCATTGGCGACAAAATCAACTGTAAGGTCTCGGCTAGCGATGTCGACACGGTACATCGTGTACCTGCAAAGTCCGGTCAAAGGAATATAATTGTGCGGTTTTGCTCTCGTGAAAAAAAAGAACGAGTTCATGAAGAAAGCCAGAAGGGCGCGGCTGAACACTCGAAGTATAGGGTACTCAGGAGAGAACGCACAGGCAATATTTGTGAATGAGCACCTATCACCAGACAATAAGCGCTTGTTCTCTAGGGCACTTGCCTTAAAGAAAGAAAAAGGATGGCAGTTCATCTGGACGGAAAATTGCCAGATTAAGGTGCGGAAGTCTCCCGACAGTCGGGTAATTCGCATTGCTTCCGATTCTGATTTATGCAATATCGCCTAACATTTTGCAATCAGTCTAGTAGTCAATCTTTCAGTTACGTGAAATGGCTTCGTACATTCGACCTCACGAACTTCAGACCTATTTTTCCTTGCCCTGCCGTTCACTAATTCATTTTAATGCACGCAGTCTGCAAAAAAACATGGATGGTATCACAACTTTCTTATCATCAACTAGTCACAAGTTTTCTGTGATTTGTATTAGCGAAACGTGGCTTTCCGCATCTCATAATCACTTGTATACCTTCCCCTCATACTCTGCTGAATACTGTCACCGCGATAATAGTAATCATGGTGGTGCGGCTGTTTTCGTGTCCTCGGAACTGCGTTTTCATAGGCGACTTGACTTGACACTCAAAGTGGCTAACTGCGAATCTGTTTGGGTTGAATTTCACGATTCATTTTTTTCCCAGGACAAAAAAAAAACCTTATAGTTGGTTGCATCTATCGTTCACCGTCATCATGTGGAAGTGCTTATTGCTCGGCCCTTGGTAATTTGTTGCACAAATTATCACTGGAGCAGAAAAATGTCATTATCATGGGCGATATCAATATTAACCTCCTAGATCCATCCAACACACTGTTCAATGAATACGTTAACTGCCTAAATGGCTTTGGGTATGAAAACCTAGTTACGCTTCCAACTCGATGTCCCGCAAATAAACAAGGTACACTTATTGACCACGTTTTATCAAATCTCCTTACTAACCCTGACTGCGGCGTTGTCGAAGCCTCTGTTACCGATCACTATCCAATATTTGTGCGTTTAAATTACACTCCTTGCGCTATTGTCACAGGCCTAACCAGAAAGAAGCTCAATTCAACAAAGTTCTTTGAGTTAATATCTGCTACAGACTGGAACCCAGTCATCGCGTGCGATAACCCTGAAACTGCCTACGATACATTTTCAAAGATAATTTCCAATGCCCTTGCAGATTCTACCGAAATAATGAACTGTAAAAAACCGTTCTCAGCTCCTCGTAACCCATGGCTATCTAGCAGTTTGCTTGATTGCCTGAAGAAAAAAGATAACCTTTACAGAAAAACAAAAAAACAACCGTTCAATACTGCGCTTCATGATAGGTATAAAAAATATTCTAATCGTTTAGGAAAACTACTCAAACATGCCAAAACACAGTACTATGAAAATAAAATTAAGTGTACCGGTAATGATGTAAAAAAACAGTGGGAAATTTTAAACTCGTTTTTGGGTAGATCCAACCAGCATAGCGAAATAACAATGATAAAATCGGGAGACCTACTTCTCGATAATCCCTTAGACATTGCTAACTCTTTTATTAACTTCTTCTGTACAGACAAGCAACGGGAAGACGATCCTCTGACCCAGTCTTACCCACGCATGCCTCACAGCTTTTTCCTTCACCCCGTGACACCTGAAGAAATAGTCACTATCATTTCTAGTCTAAAAAATACCGGGCCCGGTATTGATAATTTCCGCCCCTCTCTCATAAAACTCATAGCAAGTTTAATATCTGAAACATTTTGTCACATAGTAAACCTTATTTTTACCACGGGAATTTTTCCAAGTTCCTTGAAGAAAGCCAAAATAATTCCTGTTTTTAAGAAGGGAGATAAGCGTCTCACATCTAATTATCGACCTATAGCTATACTCTCATTCTTTAGCAAAGTTGTTGAAAAACTAATAGTAACACGCTTGTCTTCCTATTTTTCAAAATTTCATGTCTTATCAACAAATCAATTTGGATTTAGGGAGGGATACTCAACTGATTTAGCATTACTTTACTTGACAGATAAAATCCGGCAGGCAATTGATGCAGGTAATTTGACTGGGGCGCTCTTTATTGATTTATCTAAAGCATTCGATTCACTTGTTCACAATATACTATTTGCTAAATTAGAGTCTATTGGAATAGCAGGCCCACCACTGAAATTACTACGTAACTACTTAAAAGATAGAGAATATATTGTGTCTATATCTAACACTTACTCACACCCTAAAACAAGTAACATTGGGGTACCGCAGGGATCAATATTAGGACCTCTCTTATTTTTAATATACATCAATGATCTTTCACAATGCCTAAAATCATCTGACTGTATTCTTTACGCTGACGACACTACTATTTTCTGCTCAGACAACCACCTTGATTCATTAATCTACAAGCTTAACCACGACGCGGACAGCATAGTTACCTGGTGCCGGCAAAATAAACTACAGATAAATGCTACAAAATCTCAGTTCGTCATCTTTTCTTCTAAGCATAGGATTTATTCAGGATCACCATCTTTAACTTTCGCTTCAAACACACTTTATCCTACTGACAGTGTCATGTTTCTCGGAGTCACATTAGATAAGCACCTAAAATTTGATGAGCATGTTTCATCGTTAACAAAGAAGACAGCTTATGGCATTAGGATATTAATTAAAGTTCGCAATTTTTTCCATATGAACACACTAATATCCCTTTATTACGCTTTCATTCATACGTATATTAATTATTGCATATCATCATGGGGAAACACGTATCCAGTCCATTTATCTCCATTGCAACACACTCAAAATCAGGCTATTCGCATCATGACACATAGCACCTACACATCAGAAGCATTGCCTTTGCTCACCTCTAACGGTATTCTGTCGGTGGGAAAACTACATAAATATTCCCTCGCAATACTAATCCACAAATCCATCAGCGGAAAGCTCCCGTTCCCTATAATCATCAAAAGCCAGTATCCTTACTCTTTGTCAACACGTTTCGCATCCAGCAATAGCTTCTTATTACCGAAACCCAGAACTAATTATGGTAAGTTCACTACTAACTTTTCAGCCACACAACTATGGAACTCATTACCATGCCATGTTAAAAATATCTACAATTTCCACGCATTCAAAATCAACCTTCGGAATTATCGGCATTCAGCATAGTCATTTCATCATTTCATCATCTCTGCTTTCTTTTGTAATTTTTAAATAATCCAACGATGTTTCAGTGTTAATTGCTTCTTTTTGAGTGTTTACTTTGTGTACACATTTTTGTTGCGTTAAAGTACTTTTGTTTACTCAGCTCTTATGGGAGGTCCCCTGTACAGTCTCTTGACTTTGGGACCTCCCTCTGTATCAGTAGTAAACCCCATTGTAACCACCATTTGTAACCAATCAATTTCAATAAACTTTCAAACTTTCAAACTTTCAAACTTTCAAACTTTCAATGATCGACAGTTCAACCTTGTTCTACAGGTGGCGCGGCACTACGCTTCGTTGTCTGCGCTAAAACAAGCAGAGCATTCGGTCGGCTATTACCATTTCTTTCATCTTGCGCTTCGCTTGCCCCTCTGCTTCTCCGCTGGGTTCGCGTAGCCACTCAGCTATTACTCTCTATTAGCCACCGTAGGCTTAAGTCATGTCTTGCAATGCGTTGGTTTGAACAGGTTGGATTGGTCAGGATATAAGTGTTAGTGGTTGTGTTTGTGTCTGTCCTATATGTGTTACCCTGTGGGCCGTACTACTTGAGGAGCCGCACGAGTGTGCGGAAGCCCCGCCTCAGTTTTCGCTGCACTCACAAGCCATAATGTCGCCTAGTATAGAGGAGCTGTGCTTGCTGACAGCACAAGAGAATAATAGAATGACGAAGTTTCTTACTTGTGCTCTTTGCCTGCAGCCCTGTCCGGGATTCCCCTAGAAGCTACCGGCCCGAGGACACCGTCGGTACCGAAGTCTAGACTCAGAGCCCTAGCAGCCACCGTTAGCCCCTCAGCCTATTCCCACTTCACTCTCTCTCTCCTAGGGTCTGTCGCGCCTCGCACTTTATCTGTTCATTTATCTTCGACATTGATCATTGTGCACTGTTAAGTCTCGCCGCAGTAGTCTAACGTCATCTCAAGGTTGAAGCTACCACGTCTCTAACCTTCAGCTGCCAGCGAGCACCGAGAAGAGTAGCTCCTCTTTGTTGGACTTTGTCGTTTCGAGTCCAGAGCTAGAGCCTGTTCAAGCATTTCTTACTTTCAGAGAGCTGTAATAATGTTTATAGAGGCTAGTCCTTAATCCCGAGAGTTGTGTTTCGCTCATGTTTATGATATCCTAGCCCATACAGCAAGCGCCACACTGGCCGGACTATTTGATGCTGAGAGTTGCATGCCAGGATACGAGAAGAAAGCGCGGCGGGAATAGTGGCATCAATATGCGCGGTTAAGTTCTTCACACGCTTGCAGCGTGGCGTTCGCCGCATTGGTCAAGTCCCACGAACTGCGTGCACACGTGCAGTTCCAGAGGTTTTACGTAAGACGTATCCGTGCTGGATGTAACGGATACCACATGCGCCATATATAGCAACAGGTAAGAAACCCAAGATTGTTTGACCATTGACAAATATATTTTGTCTTACTTCAAGCATATTACTTCCTCTCACGTGCTTTCTCAACTGTCGTCAGTGTTGTATTACGAAGAAACGAAAACACCCCTATCCAATTTGGAACAGAATGTTTACGTTTCGGACCTACAATAAATGTTAAGGACGAGCGGGAAGGCTTGCGTCCGACGCAGTTCCTTGTTTATATGATAACGACCGGTTTTCATTCGATGATGTTTTCCAGCATCCTTACCCGAGCGTTCTTAGGTTTGCTCTTGTGAGCACAGCAGTTGCAATCGCTGTATCAAAGAACAATGTGAAAGTACGATAGCTCCAATGCAGCTTAGTTTCTGCGAGCGGGTTCCTTACTGCAATGCATTTGAAGCTCGAGTCAACTAACCTTTGTTTTATAAAATGATTCATTGAGAAATTTAGCTGCCTTTGCACGCACCAGCGGAATGCTACACGCACAGCCACAGCATTTGACAGGCGAGCTAGCTTCGCCATCCTAACCACAAATGTACTTGGGATTTTGAAGAAACATCTTAGCAGTTTAGTACGAGCAAATAATAAGACCTCGTCTTTTTTAATTAATAGACTTTTTTCTCCAAAATCCACACTCGGGGACTTTTTGACCAGACAGCTTGGCTAAATGCTATCAGGTTGTGTGTCACGATCCGTTTTTCAATCGCTCATTAAATGCAATATCTTTCACGGGTTAGCTTCCTGTCGTCTCTCGCTTGTACAGCTGAGACACATTACAGCGAAGCACTACATTCGTCAAATGAACGTTTTAAAAGTTTTTTTCCTTTGTTTTCACTTCCGTCGAACGCGAGTGTGCCTGTGATAGATGAGGCCCTGAAGAAAGCTATGGTGACTGGCCCTTTCTAAACTGTTACATTAGTTACGCTGTTACGATTTAATTTCCTTAAGTTGTTCATTGAGTGTAGTTTAATTTTGGTCGTAAGTTTGTTAATGAACGCAAGATGGCCCCCTTTACGAAGCTGTGTGAACAGGTCTCTTTCCTACAAAGACATAAAAGACTTCTGCAAGCTATTTGCACCGATTTGTGTGGATGCCCTTTCAACATTATTGAGAAGTTGTCTTTCTCTTATCGCTCCATCAAAGAAGAGCTTTTCGGTCTTCGCAGACCAAATTTTACATTGGACTCGGCAAGAGCGATAATTTCTGATACATGCTTATGCATTTAAGAGTCAAGAGACATACACGTTTAGGGATCGAACACAATTTGCGGTCTTGATTTTGCAAATAGAAGTGGTCTGACAAATGTTTGACAATAGTACAAAAAAGCACAGAAACTTCTAGTCAGAGAACACTATAGATTTGTGAAAGAGCCGGGTCTCCAATCGACCAACGTTTCATCAAAAACGTCATGGTATCATATCGTCTTTTTGATTTACGTTCGACAAAACATAATAAAATCACTACTACGTCTAAGCGTTCGAACGTATAGTCGCATTTATGTAACTTATCAATGTTGGCATTACTAGAGTTTCACACAAAGGCATTGCGATTGTTGTTGCACAAGAAAGTACGGAAGGTATCGTTTTAATTAATACTACGCATTTGCCGAACACTTGTTTAGCATCAATAAAATTATTGAGAGGTGCGTGATAATATTCAAGGGTTCTCTAAATGTAGCTACTCTTGGTTGATTGCATCGGTATATTCCTGCAATATCGTACTTGCTCAATGAAGGGTAATGTTCCTTTTCTTTTAACCAATTTGTTCATTTTACAATACATTTTGTGCAGGTTCACAGCACTCAGATACTTATATGTTTTAGCACTACCTGGCGTAATAATACAAATAATTTAAAGCTCTTTTATTAATCATTGTGGGAATTAGTAAATACGTAATTATTCGTGGTTTCAGGCTTTTGGGTATAAAAATGTTCTCAAGAACAGTCGAAATTACTCCGGGGCATAACACTAGGTTTTTTTCGGAAACATTTGGTAACACAACAATGTCTCTGGCTGACCGAGTTATTCACATTTGCCTTCAACCACCATTGTATTCGCTAAAATTGGTGATATGATCTGCACTCTTTTCAAGTTGAAGCAGTTCATTCTCTGAAATCTTTCTAAAAGCCTCGAAAACACCGGAAAAGTACGATATGCTCTTGGCTGTTCCGAAAGTTCTGTTGCTTACGTTTCCGTGAGTTTGCGTCGGAATGAAAGTAAGACAAGTAGTGAGAGCGACTGGTTTCTGTCACCAAATGTAAGTAACCTCATACCAGTTATAGCCACAAAATGTGTACGCGCAGTTGTGGTGCTTTGATTTTCGTTGATTTTCCATGTTTGGAAAGCAAGACAAACAGGCATCGTTCTTTCAGTGAAGTGAACGTCTTTGGACTCCTACTTTCGTACGTTTTTTTTTCTTTTTGGTATCATATTTCATTGGCAAGTTTACTTTAAAAAGAAACCTGGAGACAGGCTAGGACGTCTTCAGCACGTTCGTACACCTTACGGAAGAACCACAAGACGATGTCCCAAATTCGCATCGTTTACAATCTGCTCAGATTATGCAGTTTAGTGCTACAGCTTCAGGTTGTACCAATCGCGGTGCCAGCGATGTCATGTGTGAGCACACCTGTGCGTTTTTGAAGCGTTGTCAAAAACAGAGAATAATAGCAACTGGGCCGCAGAGTATCGATGTGTATTGAAGTAGTTGTTGGTGCTTGTGGATTCGACACGCGATTGTACGACCATGTTTTTTTTTCTATCTAGTTGTGGGTACGTTGTTACATAAATGACTTTGTTCATTTTTGGGGTCTGGTGCAATCATGAAGACATCGCACTCAACTGTTTCATTGTTCGAAGGCAATGCTTGCTGTGTGTGTTCACATCTTTTTGCATTTGCCTGTAAATAAAGTTTTTCGTTCACTCCAATGAGAATGTGTGGTCGTTTCCTAGCAGGGAGAAAGTTTTGACGCATTGCAGGCTCATTGTGCTGCACAATCATAGCGCAGAAAAAAATAACACCGAACAGGGTCATGAAGTGGTCAACCACAACGAGCTCAAGACAAGACGAGCACTAACTTTCATTTAAGACTTTGTTGCAGAGTATGACCACATATAAGCACACACCTGAAGCTGCGAAAGAAAAAAATCTGCAGATAGAAGGTAAACAGCCACACTTTCGTTTATTCTTGTTGTCTATGGCAAAAAAAAAGGCTTGCTTAGATTAAACTGCATAGGTTGTACAGGCGACGTATTCACTAATCTCTGGTTATTTTAGACACTTCGAAAATTCACTTAAGTATCTTATTTAAATGGTCTTGCGTAGCAGGAATAATATTGAAATTATCTGTGTGCAGCCGTTCGCATTTGTGCAACGCATGATCAGCAGCTAAAGTGATGAGACACCAATGACACTGTCACCTAATCAGGTGAGTAAGAAAAAAACCTACTGCTGATTGGCATACTGACCAATGCAACACCTCAGCGCCGTCGTAGCCGCGATCCCATTTCCGCGCATGTGTGGCCCGCCGTGGTGTTAGAAGCGGTTATGGTGCACCACTCTTGATCCCAAGGTCACCGGTTCAATCCAGGGCGAGGTGGTCGCATCGCCATGGGGGTGAAACGGCAGAGGACCGTGTATTGTGCGCTGTATCCATATATGCTCAAAATGTCCGTATCCCTCCCCTACGGCGTTTATTCTAACGATATCCTCGTTTTGCCTATTATTTTATTACATAGCATTAAATTACTGTTGTACATAGTACATTATGTATTATTACGCATTACATGGAGAGTACCTCAGTAATCTGCGGTTCGCTGATATTGCACCGATGGGTACATCAGGTGACAAACTTATGATTTCTGAACTCGACAAGACAAGCAGAATAGCAGAAGACCTGAGAACTAATATGCACAAAATAAAGTAATTAGCAGCAGTCTTGTGAGAGTACAACGTTTTGCAAACAGTAGCGAGGCACAGGTGGTGTTAAAGAAATACGTATACTTAAGGCAAGTAGTTGCGGCGGAGCTGAGCCATGCGAGTAAATTACTAGAATTATAAGGATAAGGTGGAGCACATTTGGCTAGCATTCTTGAATCATTAATGATCGTTTATAAAATTCCTCTCGAGGAGAGTATGTAATATCACATAATGCGGTTAGCAAGGTAGTCGCTCCTTAACTTATTTTAGAGCCAAAACTCCTAAACAGCTGCACTGAGATTTAGCACTAGGTAGGCAGGTAAACAACATTTTTGATTCATGAAAGAATCATGTGAAGATGCGTGGTGGTGTGGGGGGAGTGGAAGATAGATACGCTAAAAAAATGCTTCGCATTCAAAACCACCAGGCATGCATGGCCACTCAGCACAGTCCCGGAGAGAGAGAGGTCCAGGAAAGGAAAAGATGGAACATCTGCAGCCCTAATTGCGAGCACGGCTGAGTGCGAACGAAAGTTGGTAGAGCAGGCCATTCTGGACTCTCTCTCTCTCAGGGGCGCAAGCAGAGCTTTTTTTTAGGGAAAGGGAGGCACCTCTTTGAAATGGTTGTTTTTAACTCTGTATGCCATGGCAAAAACCATGTTTGGGGGGAACGAGGGGAGCACGGGCCTGGTTTGCCAGCCGCAGGCTACGCCACTGCTGTCTTGAAACGACCCGCAAGTACACACGCAAGGTCACCATTCAGCCATAAATCATAATTTTCATGAAGTATAGAAAAGCACTCACTATGCCATTATTCGTGATTCTGCGGAGAAGCGTGGTGCCCGCTACACATATGTAAGTCATTATGTGTTTGTGCTGTCTCTGATGGCGATGAAGAATCATCGAAAAACGTCTTTTAGGCCAATCTAGGGAGTGGGTATGAGATATATGTTTGAGGGTACAAACAAACGTACTTTAGAATAGTGGAGGTTTGGACCAATTGGTGATGCACACTAGATAAAATGAAATGCAATAAATGGGAAAACAAAAGAAGAGAAACATAGGATGTAGCACGTTGTCCTGGGTGTCTCTGCGTTTGTTTTGGCGTTTATTGCGCTTAATTTTATCCATTATACAAACAAGCAAACAGGAAAACAGATTTTCGTACAATACTACTGATTTTCTGTGGATTCAAAGCTTTATGAGTCGTATTTTACAGTTTAAGCGAAACGTCGTCCATTCACCGCACCGCTCCCAATAGGCCAAAAAAATCTGGTGGCATCCACCGGTATGCCAGTTTTGGACATTCGTACGTCTGATGGAGATCCCAGAAATCCACCAGCGGCACTACGGTCATCGGTAGAATCCTTATGCGCAAAAAAATTGTAGATCCGTTGAACGTCTGATTGGTGACAAAATGATAGCATATCCACAGGGTCAATGATGGAGATTGGAGCGAAGCTGGGTCCGCACCACGCTACCGCGCCGTTTCTGCCTCCTGTTCTCGTACGCCGGGATCTTGTCGGAGCCGCCGCGCAGCTCGACAGCACGCTTCTGGCTCGCGCGCTCGCACATCAGGGTTCCATCTTCGAGCGCGAGCCGCCGCCACTTTGCGCACACGCTGCTCTGCAGCCTTGTCCGTCCACCGGCCTTCCGAAGAATCTGAACGTGCGCGCGCGCCAACATGACCTTTATTTTACTACAGCGTGCCCCCTAGTGTACGGCACCGCCAACGAACACGCGATCGCCAACGTCTTCGTGTGGCGTCGTTCCTATTTTCTCGCACGCTCACACATCGGGGTTCAGTCTTCGAGCGTGAGCCACCACCACCTTGCGCGTATGATACTTTTTCTTGGCAAACCATCAATTATCCGCTGGCCGCGTTTGTCCGTCATCTGTAAGTTTGTCTGTCTGATTGACACACTGACGAATGGACGCATGGAAGAACGCAGGTACGGACGGACGCACGAGAGGACGAAAGGACGGACATATAAAAGGACGGACGGACGCATGATGGATGCACAAATGAATGGTATCATGGATGGACGCACGAATAAACGGATGGGCGCACGGCCGGATGGACAGACGCATGGACAGACGGATGAACGGATGGACGCAAGGATGAACGCATGGACAGACAAATGGACGCACAGATAGACGCACAAGCACGGATAGATGAACGCACAGATGGACGCACGAGGATGTATGGATGGACGCACGGATGGACAGATGGATGCAAGGATGGACGGAAGCAAGAACGAACGGATGGCCGGAAGCACGGACGGAATGACGCACGCTTCGCCCCACTCATCATCATTCACTCCATGTATATGTTGTGATTTTTATTATTTATCATACTAAAAGTAACGTCCTCTAGTATCCCACCATTTGCATTTTTCAGCCTATAGGCATTTCGTTATATGTACAAGTACCGCCTTCTACGTCCGGTTCAAAAACTAACGAGAGGTGGCTACATACGAATACGACGGGACACTTAGCCCACGCCTTAAAGAGCTTCGCTCTTAAAACCATATCTTTGGACACTAGAGGGATCTACAGTTAGCCTTTTAGTACGTACACCTTGCGTCCATAGCTACATGCGATGTATGCAAGATAAGTTGTGCCATTTTACCAGTGAAAAAAAATGGCAGATTTCACGTACAGCGGGAATCGATTACATGCGAAGCACGAATGAGGAAGGCGGATATATATCAACACAAAGTTAAAAGGCGGAGGTAAATTATGCCATACACGAATTCCATGTAATGATTATGAAGTTTGGACGTGTCATTTACGTTCGTCATCTATTCACGTCACCAGATACTAAATTTGGTATAGGTGGAGCTAACGAAACGGCCGCGAGCGGGCTATGAGTGTAGCACGTAGTCATGTTTTACATGACACGCATATTATGATTATCATATATGGATCTATCTTTAACATTTGCTGTCCATTCACATCACGTAATATTAAATTTGGTATATGTGGATGTCACAGGTCCCGTTAATGCGGGAGGCGATCGCCGGGCTAATTCCAAGGGCCCAGGTATCGGCCCCCCGAACCGCACCACGAAAGCGTGGACAATTTAGAAGTGGTCCTTTTTGGCGCGCCAGCGGACGCCGGCTGTGGCCCAAAGAACAAGTCAGAGCCGAGAGTTGATAACCAAAACAAAATTATATTCTCAATAATCGCAGATCAAAAACAATACACAAGTATGCACACTCCACATTAGTTGAATACAATATGTCACCAATCAAACAACGTACTACACAGTACAATCAGCCACACTCGAAACAATGGACACAGACAACAATACGCACTACAATGCAGTCGCATGCATTGAACAACCAAGACACTTAAAGACTAAATAGTTAGAAAACTTATTCAGTCCAAAGTTCTTGGAACAAAAGTCTGAATGATACTCTTCCGAGAATCACTCACTCAAAGTCCAGTGTTGTTGTCGTTCCGCTGCCCACGAAGTTTCTCTTCCAGGAAACCTCGCGTCTTCAATTGGCCACTCTCCAAGTTTCAAACTTCTTCGCCGGAAACACGTCGGCTTCACACAGGCAGCTGTTGCCACGCGTCTTCGCTCGATAGCGGTAGACACACGCTCTTGCCTGTAGCTCGAGCCTTCACCCCTCAGGTGGAAATTCTCTTCTTCTCCTGCTTTGTCACTACGGACAAAACCTTCGCCGACTACACGGCGGAATACCCTACGCGCTCTGGCGCTAACTTCCGTCTTCTCCTGATCTCCCATCTCGGCTGCTCGATTAAATACCTTCCGCGCGAGATTCCAGAAAGTTCTCATCATTTCGTCGGCGCGATACGCAGTGAAGGCTGGGGGAAAGGGCGAGACGATACGGGGGCTGTCCGCGACGGATGACTCAACCCGGCATCACCAAGCCCCTTTCCATCGAGAAAATTCCAGTGCTTGCTCGGCCGCCGATGTGGGGTGAGGAGGTTCGTAGGCGAACCTACGCTTCCGAGGGGAGAGGAAGCGTGCCCGGGGA